AGGGCGCCTGGGTGGCTCAGTTGGTTAAGCGACTGCCTTCGGCTCAGGTCATGATCCTGGAGTCCCTGGATCGAGTCCCGCACCGGGCTCCCTGCTCGGCAGGGAGTCTGCTTCTCCCTCTCCCATTCCCCGTTTGTGTTCCCTCTCTCGCTGTGTCTTTCTCTGTCAAATAAATAAATAAAATCTTTCAAAAAAAAAAAAGAAATACTGGAGAGTGACACTAAAGGATTTGTGGCCAAATAATGTGGAAATGAAGAGAAGAGAGAGAGCAAAATAGGCTTCTGAAATGCTTCGCCTGGAAAAGTAGAAGGAAACAAATGCTATTTAACACAGAAAACTGGGGAGGAAGAGCTTGCTTTGGAGTATCGGCGAGACATTGAGGTAACGATGCCCATAAGACTGTGCGGTGCAGGTCAGAGCGTAACAGGAAGGTCAGGAGCAGTGACGAAGGGGCACGGCTTGCCCCGGTGGTGGGGTGGGGTGGGGGGGTGAACAGAAGAGGTCACCCTGCGTGGCTGAGGGATAAGAACAGAAGATGGCCACGAATTAAATAAAGAGCAGGTGGGGAGATTAGAACCCAGAAGGGGAAATGATGAGGAGCAGTGACGGTGTGGTCGACTCCACCAGAGGCCCCAAGAAGTCGGAGAAGAAGAGGTCTTGGGTGACATTCTGGAGGAGAACTTCAGCTGAATGTTTAGGACAGGAAGTTAAATGGCTGGGGACTGAAATGCCCCTGGAGTTGATTTGGTCTGGAAAAGCTATTTTTCATTCAAGCTCAATGAAAACCAGGGGAGGCGTGCCTGGGTGGCTCAGTCAATTGGGCTCAGGTCATGATCTCTGGGGTCGTGGGATTGAGCCCCGTGTTGGGCTCTGCGCTCAGTGAGGAGTCTGCTTGTCCATCTCCCTCTGCCCCTCTCTGTGCTCTCTCTCTCTTTTAAATAAAAAAATCTTTAAAAAAAGAAAACCATGGGATAAAGCTCATTAGAAAGTGAGAGAACATAAATATAGAAGAAGAAAATAATTATATACCACTGCCTGGCCTTTCTAAAAAGTAAGTTCACCTAAGACCATGCTGCTTTTTTGTAAGAAGATTTTCAAGACAACAGAAATATAACTGGTTGCTAGGCCTGGTAGTAATGGGGAATATAGACACATCTGGACATGAAAATTCAAATGGATACACAGAAATTGTACTTACAGTGTGAGAGAATCGTTTGGTTCTGCTAATAAAATGTTTGCTATTACCACTTGCCGTGTTGAAACCAAGTTCAACAATTCCAGGTATTTTAAAACCAAAGCTGAAACTAGACAGGCTTGTCCTTGTCTCTGTGATGTTATGTTCGAAATCCGAGTACGATTCGTATTCTGTCAGCGCAAATTCGTATTTGCCTTGGGTCTAAAGGAGGAAAAAAAAAATGTTTCTTACTCTATTTGAGTCACATCAGTTCTATACAAGTCAACAGATAGCCATTGTATTCTTATGGTGTGTGAGGCTCCCGACTAGAGGCTCTGGATGCAGAAACCAGAGGGCCGACTGTGTTCCCCAGCCCCACAGCTCCCAATCCAGGAGGACAGACAGACATGGGTGAAACTCAGTGGTGGGGGCTTGACTTGGGTTCACCTGGGGACTCGGGGACTCGGCTTAGGCAAAGGCACATAGGTGGAAAAGAACAGGAATTATTGTACAAAGTGCGGGGATTCTAGTGTGGTTGACCCAGAAGATGTCACAGTGAGGGGAAGGGACAGGCGTTGTGAGGGAGGGTGCGGGCCTCAAAATGTTGAGGTGTCTGCATTACTTGCCCTGAAGTTTGGACTTAATCCAAAGATGAGCCTCTAGAAGATCACTTTGGGCATAGCACAGGGGTTGGCCTGGAAGGGATGAATCTGGGGTCAGAGAGACAGGCCAGTGAGGAGGCTGTAAGGGGAGAGCAGCTGACAGCTGACGAGGTCTGGTCAAAGGTGGTGCAGTGGGGATGAAGTGATGTGGAGGGCAAGTGCCTTCCAGAGAAATTAGAAGAGCCGTTTGCTCAAAACTCAGTGCTCATTGTTCTGTGCATAGGGGGGCTGCCAAAGATACTGCCCTGATGGCCTTGGAGGGACCCGTCCCCCAGGGTCCCCACTCCCACATTTCGGCTTCTGGTCGCCTATAGGTCCCATAACGCTCAACTGCTGAGGAAGGGAGCAGAGTCACTCTGGACGCCAAATCCACAGCCCTATTTCGGTCTTCCATGCCAGCTTTGATGCTGTTGCTCGCCTAATTCTGCTCCTACGACTCTTGCTGTGATTGCACGGGGCACGCCAGCCTCGCTGCTCTGTCCTGAGGAAGGGACAGTCCAGGGGCTTCCTGGCTCTCACATACCTGTGGGGTGTAGCTGTCCACATTGTAGGGCTTCCTAAATCTCGTGTTCAGTATGTAATGGGGGGAGCATGCCCCGGCGTAATACCTGTGATCGAGCACCGGGCCCTCAAAACTGTTGGTGAACAGATTTATCCTGCACGGAAGGCATGGAAAGGGGGGAGAGGTTAGGGTCATCAGTCTATGTCATCTTCCCTGGCAGACCCTAATGAAGGAAACCCAAACTCCCGGGTACAGCATTCAAGGTCCTCAGTATGTGGTCCAAACCAGCTTTCCGGCTCCATCTGTGGCCCTTCCAGACCCTAGTCCCAGCCATTGGGAGACGCTTTACTTCCTCCAGTCTGCTCTGCTCCTTCTCTGTTGCCGAGGTGCTGTTCCCTGTGCCCAGAATGCCCTTCCAGCTGCTCACTGTTTAATCTCTTACTTGTTTTTTAAGATTGAGCTCTGTTGTTGCCTCAAGGGAAGCCTCGACCAACACTTGCTGTGCTAAGCTAGAGACCTTCCTAAGACCCCATGCTTGCCCCCCAAGCAGTTACCACTCTGTACTTGTAGTTACCTTATGAGAATGGTTTAGCAAAATAGGTAGGAACAGGGACTCTGGGGCCAGATGCCTAGTTCAAATCCCTGTTCTATCATTTCCTAGTAATGTGACTTCAGGCAAACCAGCTACCCTCTCTGTGCCTTGGTCTCCTCCTCTGTAAAATGAGCACAAGTTGTTGTGAGGATTATATATGCCCATGTTTATTAAGTGTTCAAACATGGCTCGGTCTGTGACAAATGTTTGATATTATTAGTGTGTCTGTTGTCGCACTAGACTGAGTGCCCTTGAGGCTGGTGGTTTCCTTCTTAAATTCTGTAGGATCTCCATCGCAAGATACTGAACAGTTATCATTTATTGAGGGGCTAACTAGAAACAGACAGAGCAGTGGGTGATGCTACGTATGGATCACCTTATAAAGTGTCCTGCCAAACCTGGGGCAGCAGATGTCATTGTGTTTAGTTAGAAGGGATGAAAATCCAGTCTGTAGTCTTATTTCTCACTGCCTCCTAAGGCAGGCCTCCATTCCTGACCAGCTCTGTCTTCTCTCAGCCTCTGTGCTCGGGCCTCGGTTCTGGTCCTAACAGAACTGTCTTAGGCTCTCTTTCCTGTGACAGAGTTTCATGTATTGTAATAATGTCTATACATTTATTTTATTTAACCAGCACAATGTGGTGCTTACTTCGTGGAGGCAGCAGTTGTAATCAACTTACACATCTTGGCTCCTTATAAGGATTAATCCTTAAGAGATAGGGATGATGATGCCCATTTTACAGAGGAGGAAAGTAAGGCACAGAGGGTAAGTGACCTGCCCAAGGTCTCACTGCCAGCCCGCAGCCTTCCCCTCACACAAGTGGCCTCGCATTTCTCTGCTACAATCACATTAGCTTATTTGATCCTCATAGAACTTGAGAGAAGGGTATTATTGATTTCCATCTACAGATGACAAAACCGAAGCCCCACATAGATGTATGTGCCTCACCCGAGGTCCCACGGCCAGTGAGCTGTCACTCCGTCCCCTCCTACATGGTCCAGTCTGGCTCTACTGCTGGCTGGGAATGTCCACTCCATCACCGTCTCAGTCACGTGACCCCTAGGAACTCTCTTAACTTTTCCAGGCCTCAGTTTCCTTATTGAAGAGGTGGGGATTCTAATAACTAGGTTATAAGGTGGTCCTGAGAGCAGGTCTTCCCCGTATGAGGAGTCTCTCTCTCTCTCTCTCTCCAGTGACAACCTTTAAGCAGTGAGATTTGATTTTTGTTTAGGAAGAAAGTGAATTCCACTCAGGGTTACTGTTCTCACCACACTGCATCATATACAATGATTTCTAGTGCATGTGAGGGAAGGCTCTCACCCTTCCTCCTGGAGGCTAAGAAGCTACACAATGTGGCAGGAAGGCAGGGCAAACACCAGGCTAGTTGGTCCCTTCTGACCTTGCTCCTCTGATCTCTCCAGAGCACTGATCAACTCAGAGGTCCCCAGAAGCTTGAAATGCAAACTGACTGCAGACCCATCTCAGAAATCCATTTCTAACTATGTAGGAGCCTAAGCTCTGGACCAGACCCTATGCTGGGCCTAGAGATATAGAAAGAGATAAAACCTCCCCTGCAAGTTGTCAGGGCCCCTGGGTGGCGCAGTCAGTTGAATGTCTGACTCTTAGTTTTGGCTCAGGTCATGATCTCAGGGTCGTGAGATCGAGCCCTACATCGGGCTCCAAGTGGTGTCTGCTTAAGATTCTCTCTCTCCCTCTCTCTCTCCCCCTCTTCCCCACATGTACTCTCTCTCTTTAAAATAAATAAATAATTCTTAGGGAAAAAACCCACACAAAACACCTCCCCTGCAAGTTGTCAGTAGGATTCAGAGGTAATGCTTAGAAAGCAGCTAACAGTCACATAGCAGGTGTTAAACGTTCACCCCCAGCCCTGGCGTGAAGCCAGTATGGTCTCCATGCACAGCTCTGTCCCTAGTGTTTCTAACCCGGCCCTCTGTGTGGCCTCTATCTGTCCCCAGGACGTGCTCCTGGAGCTCCCTGGAGCCTTCTTCAGAGAGCAGCTACAAGCATCCACTTCCACTACAATCTCTGTTCAGAAAGGAAGAAAGGAGCAGCAACTCTGTTAATATCCTCCGCCCCCTTCCTCTCCTCCAGACTTAACATTCAATTCTGTGCCTTCTCACCTACACAACGGGAGGACGGTAACTTACCCACTGGCCAGACGGCCAATTGCCCAGTATTGGTCCATTTCATGCTGACATTTTTTATAAATCCTCCTACAGTTCGCTTCGTCGGACTGGTCTCCACAGTCATTGTCCCCGTTGCAGAGAAGTCTGCGGTTTACACACCTCCCTGGAGGGAGAAAGGGGGTTACCCATAGTCACGTGGCTGCCAAGAGGGGAATGAACATGGTGTGAGCGCATCGTAGGTGCTCACAGGAGGGAAGTTTAGACTTCTTTCCCTGAGGCTGCAAGGGGAGGTGGGTTTGGTGGGTCCTGCTAGCTGTGTGACCTTCCACAGGTTACCTGACCTCCTTGCCTCAATTTGCTCATCTGTAAAATGGGGAGGTCATCATACCTACCCTCCGGGGATCGTTGGGGGTTTAAATGAATAAATGGAACAGCAGTGGCTCATGGTAAGTGCTAGATAAATGTTATTACTCTTATAAGTGTTTCGGTGGGCCAGATGCACATGGCTGGTAAATATTTGCAGCAGGACTGGAAACTGTAACTTTCTAATTACAAATTCTTCCCACTAAACAGCACTGCCTTCAACACCATAGCCATTTAGATTATTTTTAAACTCTAAAAATATTTGGGCTCTATGTTCAAGATTTGCAGCACTTTTGCTTCCTTTAAATGCTTCCCACCCCCCACCCCCCCAACTTGACTCCCTCTCCTATTTGTATATTTTTGGGAGATAAAGCCTGTAAGACAGGTGACCCTTTTTCCTTAGATGTGTCTGATCATTTTTAACCAATATTAAAAGCAGAAGAATAGCAATCTGGTCTTCAAATGTTTCTTACAAGGCACTTAAACTAAAGCCTGCCTGAATAACCATTATGGCTTTGGTCAGAATCATGGAACACCGGCCATAATGAGTCCATGGACACACTGTAAAAGTCTTTCAGATTTATTACATAGAATTCTGCATTTGCAATAAGCGCTGGAAATGTCTCTAAAAATCTCTAACTCTTTCTTGAAAAATCCCGAAGCACGGTCCACATGGGTACAGTGAATGTAGAGAGCTGCAACTCCCGTCTAGATAATTTGGGTCAAAATACTCATATTTTTGCTGGAGACTTGGAGAAATAGAGAGGCATAGTTTTGCTTGAATTCATGAGATGAATGAGTTGGAAAGACAAGTGTTTACTTTGTTCCGCAGCAGATGATTATTTATTTGTATGCTCCTTCCTGCCCTCTGTCCAGCCATCCGTCCTTTTGCTCCTTCTTTCCCTTAATCAAAAATTTTTACTGACTATATCACACCTGAGGGGCTATGCTGTACTTGGTTATGCAGAAATGCAAAAGTCAAGAACTACCTCTGCAAAAATTGTTCAGAGATAAATGATCTAACCATCCTATGTAACCGTTGTAGGTTCTCTGTGTTGTACTGAGTCCCAAGCCTCTGAGAGAGCTAGCAGGGCTCACAGTCTATAAAGAGCATTCATATCCATTGTGTCACTTGATGCTTAGCGCATGCTTATAAGGTATTCACGTCACTTCCAATTTTCTGTTGAGAGGACCAACACGCAGAAAGGTTAAGTGACTTCTCCTAGGTCACAAAGTCAAAAGAAGCCTTGACTCAGGATTACTGATTCTAGCATGCATACTTTTGGTGTCCTTCATGTCAGCGAATGCAATTTGCATTCCCCAATTTCTAATCACAGCTCCTGTACTTACCTGCTGTCTGATCTTGAGCAAGAACTTCCCCAAGTCTCAAGTTCCTAATTCATTAAATGGAAATAATATTAACACCTACTTTATAGGGCTGTTTTTGTGAAATAATACATGGAGAGAGAGACCAAGGAGGCCTCCCGGTCTGACACATGAGTCTGACCTTGAGCACTAGATAATGGCCAGTCCGCCCACCATCAGGCGTCATCACCCCATTTGCTAGATTTCCCCTCCCACTCCTGCATCCCTTTATACCTGTCTGTGCACACACAAAGCCTTCACATCGCACTTGACTTCTGCATGGTCTGCTGGTAACACAGTCTTCAACTTCCTTGTCAGAGAAGTTACACGGTTCCCCATAGAACTGAGAGGGCCGGAGCAAGTAGGCATGTCTGTACTATGGCAAAGAGGAGCAAGGTGAACCAAGGGCAGAACCTCAGGGACCTCAGGAACTGAGGATACACTCAAGGGTCCATGTTGCAATTGGCTGTTTGCGTGACTGTTTGAACTAGACTGTGAGCTCTCTGAGGGCAGAGAGCTTGCCTTTGATGTCTGCAGCTGCAGTGATCAATAAAGATTTGTTGAATGTGAGGAAAGCCTGGGCTTCAGAGTCAAAAGGTAAGTAGACTGATGTAGCCAGTTCAAAAACACAAAACCACAATCGCTCAGCTTGATTACTCTAATGCATTGATTTAATATTCTTGTTTATTCTGTATCTTATAAATGAAAAAGCAGGCACACCTGACTCGGATACTTTGTAGTTATGTGATGTTGGCAAGTTACTTTATCTCTGTGATCTCAGTTTGTTAATCTACAAAATAAGGGTAATGAATTACCTAAATGTACAGATATGGAGTTTCAATTACATATACGATTTCTATATGAAATCTCCTTATGTTGTCTGGTACCTAGTTGGCACTCAATTTCTTGTACTTACTTTTCTTTATTATTATTTATAATTTTTAGCAGTCAGTATTCCTCTAACTTCCTGTTTGTTTATTCCAAAAATACTGAATTTCCAGAACATTAATTGAGCCACCCAATGTTGAAAAAGGTAGGCGTTGATGCTTGCCTTTTTTTTTAAACTGTAGTATAGTTGACAATGTTACTCGTTGGTCCATAAGTGTGTAACATAGTGATTCCACCACTCTGTACATTATGTTGTGCTCATCACAAGTGTAGCTACCATCAGTCACCATACAATACTATTACAATACCATTGACTATATTCCCTATGCTCTACCTTTCATTCCTGCGATTAATTCATTCCATAACTGCTTATTTGTTTGTTTTTAATCATAGTCCTGCCGTCTAGCCTGCCCTCAAGGAGGTCATCGCAGATGATGGTGGTAGTGATGGTAAGCACCAGGCAGTGACAACAAGGTGTGATGGCCGCCGTGACTGAGGAAGGACAGAGTCGCTCTGTAAGTTGATAGGGGCATCCCCGATGCAAACTCAGGAGATGGTGAAGTCACGACTAAGCTGAGACCTAAAAGATGAGTAGAGCTGTCAGGCAAACAGGAAGAAGTGGTGTGCGGAGGGTAGAGAAGAGTAATCTGGGTAGAGAAAATTGCTATACCAAACCTGAGAGATTAGAGTGTGCCTCATTCCAGAAAACAAAAAGAAATTCATCATGGCTGGAGAGAAGAGTATAAGAGGGCAGATGGCCAGAGCTGGAGGGAGATATAGCCCGGGGGCAGGTAATGCAGGGCCTCCCAAGCCTCAGTTAGGTTAGATTTAGTATTTTACTACGAGGCAATGAGAAACAATTATGGGGGGTGGGGGGTGGGGAGTGATCAGAGTTGGTGGCTTCCAAATCTTAGTTGTAGGTAAGAGTTTGGTGCAACAAAAGGATACAAACCAGGAGAGCAGCCCCTCTGAAGAATGCCATGTTAACCAACCATAGTTATTACTTGTATGGCATCTGGAAATCCACCCTCCACCACCCAGCAAAAATACAGACAATCACTCGCCCATGCTCCTTTGCATTTCCAGAGGGTCTTTCTTCCTGGAAGGCAGAGGCTGACAGGGCAGAGATGAGGTCTGCAAAGAAGACTGCTGGAAGGCCAGCCCCAGGCTCCAAAGACAAAATGGGTTTGAGGAGTGTGGAAATGATGGAAGAGAGATATCTCGCAATTCTGGTGGAAAGGTTTTGATAAAGCCCCAGCCAGTGACCCTGCTGAGAGTGATGACACCCAGTGAGGGCAAGAGCATAGTGAACTCTGAGTGAAGAGGTCCAGCTCGCTGGCTGGCTGGCTGATGCTGAGTCGTCCCGCTTTATGGTGCAGATGAGGCAATTCCACAGATAACTGGATCGATGTTGATAACTTCAGCAATAAAGCCCACTTTGGGAACTGAATAATCCCGTGTGGCTCTCCACAAAGATCCAGTTACCCGTGTAAATATCCTGGGCCCACTTTTACAGCCTCATTAGGGTCCTAGTCTATGGCTGCTTTGATGTCCCAAGGAGTTGGGGAAATGGCAGCCATTCTCTTTTCTCTGACACGTCTGCTCTGCTCAGAGCTGGGATCCTAGAACAGCCCTCTTAAGACAAGAGAACCTGAAGCACGAATACTGAAGAGACCATGTGTTTTTTTGTGGGAGAACACTAGACAAGAAGCCAGAAGCCTGAGGTCAAGGCCTGTTGTTATTTGCTAGCAGGTGAACCTGATAAAGCACCTGCTTTGAGTCTCTATTTACCCACCTGCCTCATGGAAAGTGTCACAGGGGTCTTCCCTTCCTTACAGAAGGGTCAGAAAATATCACGAGATCAAACAGGACATATTTATGGAACTCCTATTATGTTCTAGAAATTGGACTACACTGAAGATATGGAATTGAATAAACCTTCAACAGCTCGCCATTTCATGGAAAGGTAAATAATTGAGGAAGAGTGACAGGAAGAGCAGGGATCTATTATGGCTCATGGGAGGCTGCCCATCTAACTGGGCTGAGAAGTCAAGGAAGAGCTCAAAAGAGGTGGCTTATAAGAAGAGTTTCAAATCATGAGTAGGTGTTGGCCAGTGATGGAAGTGGGAAAGGTCACTCCAGCCTGAGAAAACAGCATGAATAAAGGCAGAGAGAGAATGAGAAATGGTCAGAGAGAGACAAGTGTTCTGTGTGCTGGAGTGGGCATGTTTTATGGAGACATCGGCCAGGTCTGTGTCATGGGGGGCCTTGAATGCCATGAGTCTGGATTTGAGCCTAAGGGCCATGTGTGGACTTCGGATGATTCCAAGCTGGGAAAAGACAAGCCAGACGTGCATTTTTGATAGTTTCCCTGCTTGCACCACAAAGATGGATTGGAAGAGCAACGTTGGAGGCAGGAAGTCCGATCAGGAAGCTGTTAACATGAGCAAGGAGAGATATGCTAGGAGAATAACTGGAAGGCCGAAGAAAGGATTGACTACTTGGCAGCACAGAGAAAAAGAATTCATTCATTAAATAAGCCAGCATTTATCGAGGTCCTACTATGTGCCAGGGACTGTCAGCACTGCCTCAGCCAATCTTGCTGAGAGGGCTTCTGGAAGCTTAGAGCTCACCCAAGGTCCGAGTACTTACCCTTTTCTTCTGACAGGGATCACACGAGGTCCAGGAGGACCAGCTGGACATTTCACAATCAACAGGCATTGGCATAACACCCACACTCCGCGTCTGTCTGCTCTTGGCAAGGCTCACATTGACTGCGTTCGACTCAAGAGAGTGTGGCCTTTCACCTCTAAAGGGTCATCATGAGAGGACAGAGGCAAGTGTCAGAAGAGGATTAAGTATACATACCACCACTTACCCACCATTCAATAAATACATATTTGCTCAATTGTGTGAGGCTATTAGTTTATCATTCAAGTATAGGTTAATGCACCCAGCGAACAGTTACTGACACCCATAAGTGCCTTACAGTTGGGCTAGCTATGGTCGAAAGAGTACTGAACTCAGAGCAGAAGACAGTCCATCAGCAGCTGGGGGATCTTGGTCTGCTTTTTCCACCTGTGTGAGTTTCACTTTTCTATATAATGGGAGAATCAGACCTACCTCACAAGGTTCTTTCTAGGATTAACTAAGAAAGAACACGTAAACACTTTATAAACTCTAAACTGCTACAGATATGCAGGGAATACAACCACAGCTGGATACAGGACTTTAAACAACCCCCTCCCCGCCATGGGCCTCTGTGTTATGCCCTGGGAAAGGAGAGTTTGGACTGGATTATTATTATTATTTTTTTTTTTTAGGGAGAGAGAGAGAGGAGGGGGAGGGGCCGAGGGGGAGAGAGAGAGAGAGAGAGAGAGAGAATCTTAAGCAGGTCATCCAGCACAGGGCTTGATGCCAGGCTTAATCTCAGGACCCTGAGATCATGACCTGAGCCAAAATCAAGATTCAGATGCTTAACCGACTGAGCTACCCAGATGCCTCTGGACTGGATGGTCTATAAGGCATCCTCTCATATTAAGAGTCCATGAAACATTTGCTGAGAAGCAACAACATTCAGGGTACTGTGCTATAGGGGATATAGGGAAATATAGAACACAGGTTCTGCCTTCTGGAACTCACAGTTTGTCTTAGGATAGGAAAAGAGAAACACATCTCATGTCTTAACTGTTTGGGACTTTATCCAGTAGGCAAGGTTTTTAAGTACACAGGCTCCATGGCCAGAGCTTTGCTTTGGGGGCTCTAGTGTGGAGACTGGCAGGGGTAGGGAGAGCCTGGACGTAGGACAAGCAGGTAGGAGGCTCCTGCAGTAGCACCGAGGAGTGATGTGAACTTGAACTCTGGCAGTGTCTAGGGGAGAGCACATGGAGAGGACAGGTATATGAGGCACTGCTCAGGTGGAATGGATAGCTTGTTTCCAGTCTGACTGTGTGCATGAGGGGGGAACACAGGAGCAAAAGAGCTTGTTGGGGAAGATGCGGTTGGGACATGCTGAGTTCCAGGTGCTCATGGAACACCTATGTAGAATATTCAGCAATTAGTTCCCATGTGGGTTTCGTACTCAGAAGAGAGATTTTTCACCAGATATACAGATCTGCTCATGCAAAGCTATGGCAGAGGGTAAGACCGTTCTTGAGAGGAGGCGCAGGCCAGAGATAAGTCCTCGGGGAACATCAACACCACCAGCAGACCAAGAAAGCCTGGTGCCCTGGCGGTCCTGAGCACGGGCAGCACGGAGCAGTGAGTGGGGATGTCAGTGAGGCCGGGGGTGGGGGTGGTGGAGGGAGGGAGGCAGACAGTGTCACATCTGCCAAACAGTCAAGCGACATGAGACCTGAAGTATGTCTAGAGAGTAAGGCAACACTTTTTGTTGAGCTCCTGGCACTCGGTGGGACATTCAGTAGAAGGGTGAATAAATGAACGTGTCAGTGAATCTGTCTGGGCCTCCCGTTTCCCCACACGTAACATGATGGGTGTATTATGATTTTACTTTTCTTCCACCGGAAAGAGCATACAACAGTATAAGATCCCTTGTAATCTGTGTTCCTTTTCAAGGCACAAGAGATGAGAAAGGAAACAGATTTGCTGAGCACCCAGGACATGTCAAGCCCTGGGAGAGGTCATGGGATGGAACCCATTCTAGAGTTCTCACAGCAATGTGAGAAGACATTGCCACTTGGACAGATGAGGGAAATGCCCGAGAGCCACATAGCTGGTATGCGGTGGTCTTGGGGTCTGAGCGGAGGTCTGTTTAACTCTAGAGCCTGTGTAACCATTTCCCCATGCTGCCTGCAGGGGAACCAGGCCAGCCCCTACACCACTGGCGCCCTCCTTCTCTATGCAAAGTTTCTTTCATCCCCGTGTCCGAGATTGAATCATTAGGGAGAGCATCACATAGTTTCCACCGACTCAAATACATAGTACATCACTCCAGACAAGGTCATTAACAATACATTCTCACTTGGCAAAAGTCCCAAAAAGAGGATAATATTAACTACAGTGAAATCCATCTCCACAACTGCCCCAGAGACCAGCAAAAATCAATTGCCTAGTAAAGTTGGATCTTTAACGAAAGGTCAAAGACTCTCCTGGAAACCACAGGTGGATACTTTAAAAGGGTTACTTGAGGCAGGATGCTGCACACCAGTGGGGGGGCTCAGAATGTGCTCTTATCTACTAATTTGCCCAGGTTTGACAAAACAATATTGTCTGTGATTCGGCTTCTCCTAAGTATATATTTGACAGCTCAGCAGGGTACCCTCTTCCTGTTTCAACTCAGAAGCAGTTACATTGTGTTTTCAGCAACCATCAACCCAATTCTGGGACACAGTTGAGACTGAGTGGATAAGTAATGCAAACACACACACTTTTAAGAGTCACAATTATTTTCCTCTCTAAGATTTGAAAGCCTGTTAATAGGTAAGATGGTCGTTTATAGAAGGAACTTGGTTAAAAAGTGGTGATAGCCACCAGATCTCTCATTTTTGCACCCCATTTGCATTATGGAGGTGGCAATATAATGAAGTAATCAGCTGCATAAATAGTATGTTTGTCAATTACATGGGCTAAGATGCGTGTGGTTTATTAGTACTACAAAATGCAAATCTGAAAGAAAGGCTGGCATTAAGTTTTATCTGTAAATCCTTGCCTCTGTGTAGGAATACAGCACGTTCCTTTCACACCTAGGGATTTTTTTTTTTAAAGATTTTATTTATTTATTTGACAGAGAGAGACACAGCGAGAGGGAACACAAGCAAGGGGAGTGGGAGAGGGAGAAGCAGGCTTCCCGTGGAGCAGGGAGCTGGATGTGGGGCTCGATCCTAGGACCCTGAGATCATGACCTGAGCCGAAGGCAGATGCTTAACGACTGAGCCACCCAGGCGCCCCAACACCTAGGGATTTTTATAGAAACAAACCAGATGGACCTTTGGACCAGCTGAATTGACTGTCACTCAAAAGGTATGTTTTTAATGTTGAAAACTTAAACATGCCCAGAGAAGTACAGAAAGTAAAATAATAAACACTCATGTACTCACGACCCAGGATCGCCAATTATTAACATTTTGGTATATTACCTTCATGTCTTATTTATTTATTTATTTATTTGAGAGAAAGCAAGACCGTGAGCAGAGGATGGGCAGAGGGAGAGAGAGGGAGAATCCCAGGCAGACTCCACACTGAGCACGGAGCCTGATGTGGGGCTCCATCCTACGACCCTGAGATCATGACCGACGCTCAACCGACCGCGCCACCAGGCGCCCCTAGTCTTTTATTTTTTAAGTAAAAAAAATAACCCTATACATTTCATATCTGCATGTGATACCAACCGCAATTCCATTTCCTTCTCCTCCTTTTCAGAAGGAACTATTGTCAGGAATTTAAATGTATCCCTTGAGTCCTTTAAATATTTTTTACATATATAGACATATACACAATAAAAGCACTGCTTTTGTGTGCTTTATTCATACTGTGCATATTATTGTGCAAGCTGCTTCTGTCAGTCAACACTCTATGTCTGAGCCCAATACTTGTTGTTTCATAAAGAGATCTAGTTCACTTCTTTTACCTAGATGTTCCATCAAAGGACATAAATTGCATTCAATTTATTCTTTTTTTTTTTTTGAAGGACATTTACATTTGCCCAGTGTTTGGCAATTGCAAATAATGTTACAATAAACACCCTTCTAGAAGCCCTTGGAACATATCCCTCTACAGAAGGAATGGCAGGGATGCACCTTTCCTCAAGGTGTATAGAACGCTGCAGCCAACATCAGGACATATTTCACAGGGTCCCTGTCTCCTCTCTTTCTAACAGGAGTCTCTGATCAAAATAAAGGTGGATCCATCAAGTAAGGCAGGTTTAGGTCAGTAGTAAATTGCAAGCTATCAGCTTATATAGATGGGGTGTGTCAATATATTTTGGCTTTCTGTAGAAATGCCCTGACACAACAACTTTCTTGTCACACACAATTTGTTACGCAGCTACATCCCCTCCGCAACCAGCATCCTTCCTCTTTGCTAGAAGGGGCAGCTTCTGGGTGGCAGATTTTCAATTTCTCCTCTCTCTGGCAGCGGCGGTTGTAGACATGAAATTTAAAGCAACATCTCAAGGTAGCAAATGTGTGGCCCAGAGATAGAAAAACAGCACAGGGGCCCAGCAAGTCAGATACACCATGCAGCCCGAGAGGGGATTAGGCATGTGAGAGGCAGGATGGTGCAGGGATACTCAGGAGCTCTGGAACCAGAGAAAAACTTGGATTTGAATCCATATTCTCTTCCAGATGAAGTGAGTAGCCTTGTGAGTTCCATTATCTCTCAATCTTAGTTTCCCTCTCTGTAAAACTGTAAACAGTAGCACTTACCTCAAATAGCTGTGAGGGATTAGAGCTAATGTATCTTAAGTGCCTGGCCCAGAGGGGCAATAAATAACAGTCTTATGACAACAAGTCTTATGAAAATGTGATGATTTCATCTGACTTGATTATAAGAAGAACTAAAGACAAAAACCTTTCTCAGCTAACAGGAGGGAGGTCTCAGCTTCTCCTGTTTCAGAACCAAAGACTGTTCTTCCACTCCAAGCATGGAATTCAAATCCATGCTGTGTTCAGGACTGGAAATCATGGGGAGAGGCCGGAGCACCAAACCTGGATCCAGGTATGGGTTTTGAGACTGATGAAACATGAGTGAATCTCTTCTGCTCTTTGAGGATCATTTTGCTATTCTACATAGCGTGAGTAAGAGATAGAGAAGGACTTGGCAGCTTGGGGCCAAGTTGAGATTCTTGATAATCATAATAGCTATTATTTGTTGAGTGCTCAGTGTGTAGTGAATACTCACCCTCCTGGTCTTAGGGGCGGTGCCCAGTGGCAGCTGAGTGCTCAGCAGAACTGAGACCAAGGCGCATGTCCAATGGGTATTAGTGGTCCTCACATTAAGTGGGAGGTTGTGCTCAGACAGCATTTATGGAATGAACAAAAGGAATGGCACTAATAGTCCTTCTCAGGGGGTTGCTCACAAGGTTGCTTCCCAGAGGGTTGCTGGGATACCTGAGTGTTTCAGCATTTGTGGTTGGTGAGGATCATGTACAGGGAGGATCCCCCCATTGCCAAGTCACTGGCACTTCCTTCACTGGAGCCCAAGTTTGAGCTTCCACTCAAGATATTTTCTTTCACCTGTTTTATATCCTATTAACAATATGAAACATGATGAAATAAATCAGTTAGCATTTATCTGCTGGCAGCATACTGATTGTGTGTGGAAGCGGGGGGAGAGCCAGTGAGCGAGCAAGAGCACCTGAGAACCCAAAGAATTTGGGTTGATGAGCAGGTACAGTGGGTCCCTCTCATAAATTAAAATCATTGACATGAATTGGCTCTTTTTTTCCATACATAACAAACCTTCTTTTGCATAAAGAATCACACCGGGCCTTTGTTCAGAACACAGAACAAGTATCCTATTCTTCTCAGCGTGACAAAATACATTTAAACATGTCAGTTTCTTCTGGGAACTTTTGTTGAAGTCAGATGCTTGGTTCCATAATAATTTGAAGACAGTTGTTGATATTATTTTATCAAATGCATGCAAATTGCTTCGAGAGATGTTTCTTATTCAACAGGCGCACAACAAAGAGGCGGTCAGCATTATGTGGCTTTATAGTCCCTGTCACATTATTGATTGGGGAATCATTTGTAACTGTCACTTACCTGGAGCCAGGCAAACCGAGAGAACCCAGAGCAGCACAGAGAAGAATCAGCTCTGCTGAGGCCCTCCAAGCCGGCAGCCCAGATGTCTTCATTTTCAGTCTGTGACGGAGTTTTCTGCTGGGATACTAGGTCCATGAAAGGTCTGCACAAGGAGCACAGCGGGCAGCTTCTGTCCCCATACAGCAAACAGTTCAGCAAAGTCAACAGAAAGGCAGCAGTGACCGGAAACTCCTTAGACTTTGCACGGACGGAAACTTATCCATGACTCTGGACACCAGGGAGAACAATGGAAAACTCTATGGCGGGGGGAGTACCCAAGAGGACAGGCTGTTAGTGGGGGCTATGGGCTTGAGGTCCAGACTGCCTGGGTTTAAATCCTTTCTCTGCCACTCCCTTTGTCACCACGGGCAAGTCACTTTACCTCTATGCTTCAGTTTTCTGACTTGCAAAGTGGGGAGGCTTAAGTAAAGTAACAGAAGTAAAGTGAGTAGAAGGGGCCCATGTTAAACCCTCAGATATGTGAGCTATAACTACAAAGTGGAGGGCAGGGTTGGAAGGGCAGCCAAGCTCTGCAGTTTTGCCTCTTCCCAGCTCTGTGACTTGGCACAAGCCGACAAGAGGCTGTAGAGCTCTAGAACCTGTCTACCTCTGTTCCTATTCTCTCTGTGTGTTTCACTAGCTGGGTGACCCATGCATGGCAAATCATTAACCTCTCTGAGCCTCCTGACTTAACCTCATCTATGAAAAAAGAATAATAATAGTACCCAACTCACAAGGTTGTTGCTAAGACTCAATAAATCTTAGTATTTACAACACTTTGGATAGTGCCTGGCACATTCTCCGTGCCTTCTCTATGAGTGAACTGGCATTTTTATTGACTCTCTCTGATTCTTTTTCCTCACCCGTAAAATTTGGAGGGCCATGCTTACTGGTCAGAGTTGGGGGAGTCAGATGGGATACTAAATGTGAAAATGTTTCACAGTAGGCATTATAAAAATGATAACTGGAAGAGGATAATACCAAACACATGGTATTGTTACTATATAACCTACGTGGAACTTCACTGTAATTAGGGGGAAACAGAGAGCTTCCCCGAGCTCGCTGCGAAGTGTGGTAGATGACTAGTGTACCGGTAGACTTCACCCATGCACAAGCAGTAGCAACCTGAAAAGAGTTCCATAAACACCACCCCTCTTCACCGATGACCTCTCACGCATTACAGGTCAGGGTTGAACACAGTAAAGGCAGGTGCCATTCCTGTATGGTGAACCAACCTGCTTGATTTGAGCCTAGACGAGTGTTTTGCCTTCGACTTGTCATTATTCTGAATAGCACACCAATTGCCCTGTCATTTCTATGTGGCCTTCCTTCCCCTTAAATGGGATTAAAGGAAAATGTCACCCAAGCCTCTCTTGCAATGGTCTAACCCAAGCAAAAGTGCATCTCAATACCTCTACAAATGATTCCCAGAGGACCTGTGACCCGATGTTGGATGGATGTCTTCACATTTTCAGTTCCAGTGTGGACACAGTGTCAGCCCCACCTCTCAGCTGGGCACCTGCCCTGCCAGTGGTGAGGCGCACTGGTGTGGGGGATCGGGGTTGGGAGCAGCACAGCCCAAACTCGGAGGCAATGTGCAAATGGCCACGCTCTCAAATATAGCTCCCTGATAACAATCACTGACTCCTCAGAATCAACAATTTAAAGTCCAAACTGGACTGACCTGACATTTATGAAACCAATCTGCAGCCCATAAAGGGCTGGATAAACATGGTGGATGACCCTCCTGTTGCTGTTAATATTTGCAGGTGTAGACGAGGGGACTCAGGGTCGGGGGAGGCAGCGGGCAGCTTGAGGATGGGCTGGGAGAAAGACTGCATTTGATTTCCTTACACAGCTTCCCAATTTCTCTAAGACTGTCTTCTTTTTTTTTAAAAAAAAGAGAGAATGTTATTTATTTATCTAATTTTATTATGCTATGTTAGTCACCATACATTACATCATTAGTATTTGATGTAGTGTTCCATGATTCATTGTTTGTGTATAATACCCAGTGCTCCATTCAATACGTGCCCCCTCTTTAATACCCATCACCCGTCTGACCCATCACCCCCACCCCCCTCCCCTCTAAAACCCTCAGTTTGTTTCTCAGAGTCCATAGTCTCTCATGGTTCATCTC